TATAATTATAACTAAATAAATGCTCAAACGATTTGTGTTTTCAAATTCAACTCATTTAATGAAATTAAATCATTTGAAACAGAATTTAGTCCCTTATTTTGCTTTCAAACCCTAATTAAAAGCCTTTAAACTCAAAATTTAACACAAAATTATTACAAAATGTTGTTATGAATACAATATTCAATGTTTAAGTTTGTAAAACAGTTTTAAAAAATTTTAATAAATGCCAATTAATAACTAATTATATAAATTCCTGATTAAATTTTATTTATCTTATACTTAATTATTAAAATATAAATTATAAATATTAGAAGTTATATAACTATAATTTTTAATACCGGTGATAGGGTTTCAGATACATTTGAATCCCATTTTCTTCCCTGGTTACTTATGTATTATTCAAGATATTATTCAATACAGTAGTGATAATTTTTTATATAATTCATCTCATTATATTGTGTCTCGAGTCTAAAATATAGACAAATAATACTAATATCACGATAAATTAATAAGTTATTACAACGATAAGTTTATAAAATATTTTACACTTCAAGCATCAGAGAATTTTTGCCAATAATTATCGGTCATATTTAAATTAAGTTGCAAGGTCAACATTGTTTGTATTGAATAAGTAACCATTATTTTCTAACGATCATTGGGTTTAAATGTTTGCTATTTATGTGAATATTAAAGATATTATAATGGTAATTATAAGATATATAATGGTAATTTATGTATTTTTAGTTCGCCATTAATACAATTGCTTAACAATTTAATACTTTTTATTATCAATTAAATTCAATTAAATGAACTTAATATACTAATTATTATAATATAGTTTGTCAATTAAAATGCTCATCAATTATACAAAATATACTAAAAATAATATAATTTATATTAGAAATGTCACAAAAGAATATAGTGCAGTTTTATTTGTATCTATTAAAGTATTTTATAAACGATTAAAAAATATTTTGTTTGAGTTTTGACATAAAATACTTATATTTTGTTTTTGCAAATAAAAGCAATTATTAGGGAAAACTTCAATGTTTTGTCTTTTAATACACTATTCATACGATTCCTATTCTTATTGTCAATTTTATGTTTGAAAACAATCCACTTTTCCATAGAAACCGATATAACAGTAACACAGCTATTATATTGAGTAGAATATATTCCATGGCTTTATGTAACGATTATTGATATATAAATATATGTAAAAGTCATTTAAGTTATTTTAATACTCAATTCAAATTCACTAAACCTATAGATTCCTCCGGTAATTGATATAATTATTGATTCTCAAGTATCTTATTATCTATAATATTATATATAATATCTATGATTATTAGCCAATAGTTTTTGCTTTTATGTGAAAGTATTTTTTTAGTAAACTTTTAAATAGTTGTCATTTTGTAGATTTAAAAGTTTTCAATTTATTAAATATTTTGTGAACAATTGTATTACATATGGAATTGTGTTTTAATAATGTTATCGAAATTAAAATATTATATTTAATAAACAATGGGTTGTTTCAACTCAAAGGCCAAGCCTGTTGTGATCGACAATAACCAATATTCTTGGTATTTAATGAATTTAAATAATTAAAATATTTATAAATTTATTTCAATTAACTAAACATATATTTAACAACAGGTCAGGTAAAGAGAAAGTAAATCCAAGTGACTATACGATAGCCAATGTTAAATACGATACCGTAATTAAAAAGCCCGGAGAGATAGCGGGACAGCAATTCATTGTAGAGAATTGTGAATTTGCAAACATTGGACTTTTTGATTATATCAATACCATTACCATTGATGACTGCAATAATTGTTCAATATTTGTCGGACCCACAATTGGCAGGTATTACTAATTCATTTCAAATTCTATATAAATCATATTATATATAATTAATGTATTAAATTTTTATTAATTTGTTACTGATATTATGTTATATCTGTAACATTATAATAATGTTTAATTGTTGCAATATTTTATCATCCTGATTATATGCTAATAATAATAGCAATAAACTGTTTTTCTAAAATATTAAAATAAAATAAATGTTTGTATGAATTAGTGTTGTTCTCCGGAATTGCATCAGTTGTCGGCTAATGTGTTGCTCACAACAGTTCCGATCCAGAGATTGCAAAAATATTGAGATATTTCTATACTGTGCGACACAACCGGCCATTGAATCGTGTTATGACCTCACGTTTGGCTGCTTTTCAGCTAATTATAAAGGATTAGAAGGTTTATTGAATATAAACTTATTATCACTTTCTTATAAGCGATTAATTGTTTCTCAAATTACAGAACACTTTAAAAAAGCAAATCTTTGTGTTTTAAACAACAATTGGACTAATATTTACGATTTCACACTTAATGATGAGGAACAGCACTGGACTCTCTTCTCAAACGTATAGATTAATCTATTTTTAATACAACAATTTCTATATTGCAATATCATTTAACTAATTAAATGTTTTTATAAAATGTCACCAAAATGTTACATGTGCAGCACAACATAATTTACAAAACTATAGCTTAAAATATTAGGAATTAAAATTTGTATTTAATTTGTGTTTTAATTTTTACTTTTTAAAGTCAGTGAAAGCTGACGATTATTTCTCTGGTATTACATGCGATGACGAGTTGGAGCTATCGTTTAATTGGATGACAAGTGTTGTCCCAAAGACATTGGGGTCAATGCCGACGGCCAATGGCGTGAATGGAGAGCTCTGTCTTATTATGGTTATAGCCGGAGATGAGACTCACAAGACTGCACTCAATTTGATTAAAGAGATGCAAAACGAAACAGAGGTTTCATATAAAAGCTTAAAACACAAAATATACACAAATCTTATTAAAGGCTTATTTTTCAGTTAGTTTTGATGAAAACTAAAGAATTTCATTCCGTGACTACGGAATCGCAACTCATGTTTGGCGTTGAGGCCAACCAAATGATTATCGCTCTCCTATACAAAGGTCGTGATTGTGTCAAAAAAAGGTTATTATAATTATAATTATCAATTGATTTCCGTAAAACTTATTAGCATTTTATTTAATTCATGTTTAATTTACAATATATTCTTATATTATTTAATTATTTTTCAGTCAAAACATTGGGAAAGGATTTTCTGGTTTAATGTTTATCACTAATTTAATGACAATTTACAA